TGTGCATGCACATATGAGTAATCTCATGAACGCATACCATAAAACAACAATGAGTGGTGTTCTGCAAATGAAAATGGTGTTCTGCTGTTTGCGTTGCCAAAAATATGCAGGTTACCCTAAATTTGCCTGCCGAGATTAATTTTGATAAGTCCACATGCCTTGGTACTTCGTATGAGATCATGCAAATGGTTACAATAGAGATTTTATGCGTAATCAACAAATATATCTTTCCACACACTGCTCGGCACTTGAGAGTCATTTTCTAGCAAATATGGTCGAAGAACTCAGTATCGTTCTTTTTTAAGAGAAATTAATTAGAAATTCCTCAAACTTGGGTAAGTGAACCGGAGAACTTGCTCAAAACTTGACGTCCTTTTTCATATGGTTGTTATATACTTGATAAACAAGGTCTCCGTAGACCGATAATGTGCAGGATGGTAGAGAGGTAAAGCAGTGGAGTATAGGGGTACAGGTGGCAAGTTCGGATCTGGTTAGTGTATATAGTGCATAAGATTTTGTCAGTACAGAGAGCAACTTTACAGTGGAATGTGCTCTGACAGCGTAATTTCTCCACAATTTACATCAGAATCAAAAATGCGACGGATACGAAGCGAGCAAAAAGGTTGTTAGGCAAAAAGAGTAATCGAGGGAAGAGAGCTGGGGTAACCCAGCCGGAGCAAACCAGCCAGAGCAGCACCGGCGACCAAAGCGAAGGAGCGGGAACCAGGAGGGGAGAAGGACACGCGGGAGGCAACGAGGAACGAACGGCAAGAGGGGCAACAAGAGAAGGAACCCCAGAAACCCGAAGCCAGGGGAAACCAACCCAAAGGAAACCCCATGGCATGGCAACCACACCCCAACAAAAAACGCAAATCCCCCAGACCCGCCAAGACGCCCCCTGTTGATGATTTATGTATCATCAACCTCAACAATTCTATAATCCTAATAGCTTACGGATATTCCCCATAGGCTATATTCCCCAATCGCTTACATTTAAGTGCCGAATCACTCACCAATGAGTGGCACCTATCTTCCAGGGGCCGCGCCAAGCCGCGGCATCCTCTTTCTTGCACATATTTCCTGGACATTCTGATTGTGCACGGGTCAGCTCCGCCTTACTACCTATATAAGGAGCCCCCGATTGTATTATAGGTTGCTCCCCCGGTTCATCACCGGGTTCGTCTGTGGATAAATTATATCGACACCACTATCGCCTACAACACTTGGTTCCCACCAAATTGGTGCATCGACCAGTGAAACTACCTCGTATTCTATCTGCAACCGGAGGAATCGAGGCCACAAGACCCGCGTGGCAGGAAGACAACCAACCGACTATCTGAAAATTCCTGTGTATCCTTTTCGTAAGAGATCCAGGGAGGTGTAAGAAAAATCGGAAGGCTACCACTGACTATCTGAAAATCTTTGTGTATCCTTTTCGTAAGAGATCCAAAGAGGTGTAAGAGAAATCAGTAGGAATACCACTGACCATCTGAAAATTTCTGTGTATCCTTTTCGTAAGTGATCCAGAAAGGTGTAAGAGAAATCAGTAGGTAGCACATAATCACCTAATACGTGAAACTTTCTGTGAATCCTTTCCGTAAGCGATCCAGAGGGTGGAACAAATTTTGTGAGTGCAGCACATAACCACATAAGACCGTGAAACTTTCTGTGAATCCTTTTCGTAAGTGATCCAGAGAGCGGAACAAATTTTTGTGGGTGCAATTTTCCAATCGATCTCATAGATCTCTCGCGAATCCTATCCAAGGACCGGAGATCAATACATTGAGATTTGAAAGGAAGGCAACTTGAGTCACAGGAGCTCATTTTGCCAAAAAAGTCAAAGTTCGACCAAGAACTCTTGACTTGAAGGATTGAAACCCAATCCTTATCTGGTCAAGGTCCAAGCCACCTTACCAGTCAGCACAGCGTTCAAGCCAACCAGGCACGCTTGCTCATCAGAGATCAGCACACAGCTGTCTCTTTTCAACAACACCACTAACGAGCCTACAAGTTTGCGAAAACCTCCCTACTTGTACATTGAAGAAACAGCAAAGCAACCAACTTGCTGTAGGACAAAAAGAGAAGAAGTTGGAATTAAATCTCGAAGATGGCCGCACTTCAACTTTTCAAAATCAGGATCAACAATGCCTGCAAACTCGTGAAATCGCACGAGTCACAAATTAATGACATTGATGTTCCCTTCACATTTCCTGCGACAAAAGAACAATGTGAGATGTACATTAAAGAGAAAACAGGAGTAATAACTAATCTCCTAAACTCTTTGCATAACGCAATGAAGCTCCAAGAAACGCAAACCAATGCCGCTATGGAGTACATCAACACAAGGAATGATGAGAAAGAAAGGGAAAAGCTAATGACAGAACTCAGCAAGCACTTAGAGCTTGAATCATTTGATCTAGAAGTGGTTGTAGGGGAATGGCAGACTAGGATACAGTTCAGACAGCATGAACTGAGGGAGCAAATGACACTTTTGCATACGCCTGCTCCTAGTATCCCAAGCCAATCAGCAAGCGAGATAGGACAAGACTCAGTAACGGAACGAAGTGAACGCCAGATCAAAGTGCGGAAACTGCTTCTAGAGATTCCCACATTCTCTGGCAACTTCAGAGAGTTCAACAGTTTTTGGACAGTGTTCGAATCACTGATTCCCGGCCGGTTTGGAAACGGAATTGGAAGGTGTTCGTCATTGGAGACAGCTGTGTCACCTTTAGTTGCCGGAAGCGTCGTAACCTGCAAAGACCTGACCGCCTCCTTATGAGCAGAGAAGGTCTTGTCGTTATATTGATCATCAGTACTACTCGACGTTTTGCTTCCTTTGATTATTCCCTCTGACTTTATCTGCAATAGATTTTTTGCTTCCACTTTTGCCGTGTGGTCGAGGCTGTCTTCATTGAAGTTTGAAATGGCTGGCTCCACGGACATTTTCTGTGGTTTCTCTTGAGCATATGGTATGCTGCTTAAAGCGCTGAACTTACTCCTGGACTCAATGTTAGTCTCTCCTTTACGTTCTCCTTCGTTTTCAAGCGTTTCTTCGTTCATCGTTGGCATATCGCTTGAGATAGGATCGCCTGGTTTTGGTGAATCGTTCGACTGATTTCCGGCCAGGAGTTGCTCACTGTTATTTTTGCATGTTACGGCAAAATTCTTCTTGATTTCTATGCTTTTCAATTCTGCCTCAAATTCTGTCATGCGGAGTTGCACAAAGTAGACAAGCATGTGAGTATCATCAATGGCTTTATAAAATCTTATCTCTTTATCGAGCTGCTCCATTTCCATCACCATCACTTTCCTTATGGCAGTAGATTCTTCGTTTTGGTAAAGTTTTTCTAGCACATCGGTCCTCATTTGTAGTGACTGTGCGGCGGTCTCCACTTCTCTGATTATTCGCGCATATTGGCGCAGATTGTAGACACATATCCTCCGGCGCAGTTCGTCGTTATCTGGAAGTATGGTCTTCTCACCGCTGTATGCGTACTCTTGCAGTACGTCCGTGAGATTCTTGGTGAGCCGTCTAACTTGTGCGTAGAGGCTGGGAAACAGCTTCATTGCGAGATGTTTCCTCTGTGCTCCTGTTTGCGAAGCACTGTGTCGGCCTTCGTATTTGGCCGATGCACCAAATGTATCGTGTGGTTCCTAGGCCTTTCAGTGGCCTGAGGCGAATTAGCGCCTCTTGGTGTGTGTTATACAGAACACATTAGCTATAGTAGCTTTATTGAGTCAGACGACGTGCACGTGTTAGTGCAGTGGTAGAATGCTCACGATTAAAGGCGTGGCAAAGTAACATAACAAACATCTGGGCAATAACACCCTCATATCACAGCAGGTCATGCTTATGGCATGACCTTTATGGTGCTTAGGAGAAGTATGATATAAGTTGCAAGAAAGGTGCCGACAAAGTCGGCACACCCCCCCCCCCCCCCGACGCCCCACCATCCACCCAAAACCCACACACTCCCCAAATAAGACCACCAACCCCGATGCCGACGCGGACTGAACACCCTAATTCCGCCTGGTAATCCAGTGCGCTATCCATTCGACCATTCGCGTAGTCGTTCTTAGCAGTTCTTTTGATTAGAAAGATGTTATCCACTAGGCCAGCACGGTGGAATACACAACGCGTCCTACCCCCCCCCCCATAGGTGAGCGGCCGGATTGCGATTTGTGATCCGAACTAGTCTGTAAGGTGTAAAGTTCGATATCCTAATTGCGAGTAAAGAGTCCAACCTAGAGCACAAAAATCAGCGCTACTTCATAGTAAAGGGATTATTATAAGTTGTTAACACTTCTTTTATAAACTCATCCATTTTCAACGGATTCGTTCACATCAATTTGTCCTCGAAGAAAAGAATCATTTGATTTTGCGGTGATTGAATCAAGAATCTAGAGGCATAGATCTCTTTTAAAATTCGGTAGTTAGAAACATGCCAATTGTATGAATCTATTTTTGGTTTTGGTGATATACAATTCTAACCAAGTTACATACGCGGTGACATATCTCTACGCCTAGATGTTCCATATATGTGTCGAGCAATACTAAATCAAATGCACAAGCAAAGACGATATTGTGTGCAGTGACTATTTAGAAAATTTCTAATACAAGCACAATGTCTTTTTGAAAGACCTATTTTGTTTCTATGATGCTCCCCCCTTCAAATTCTAGTAATCCATAACCTCCAGAGTACAATCATGAAACAGCGCTTGCCATATTTTACCAACGAATTTCTGTTAAATGCGGATCTAGAAGCCAATCTTTACCATTGTGAAACTCAGCATCTACACTATTAAAACATAGCCCCAAAATTCGATTAAAAAATTTTTACAAATTGAATTGTTTTAAAAAATCGATGGAGTGCGAAGACAAAGTTAAGAAGTGGCTCACCCACAAGTCAACTTTTACCCCGACGCTTAGTTCGACGAAAGTGGAGATTAAGCATTAAATCATAAGAATTTTAGTAGAAAAGTCGAAATGTCACAACACAAATGAAAATCATTTATTTCTTCCTAACCAACACGACTGCTTTGACAGTGCATTAATACGAAAACATGCTAGCAAAAACGAAATTCACTATGTTGGCGCAAAGATTAGGAATGCAAATAGTGTTCTCTACTAAATGAATTTGTTAATCTCTGAAATAGAACTATGTTTCGATAACGATTTCATAGACAAAAAGGGTAATCTCCATGAGGGAACCTCGAGGAAGAAGGTGAGAAGGGAAGGGCCGATAAGCGGCAAATCACAGTATCCTTCCAATGACACCGATTTGATTGTGATCCAGAACAAAGGACTTCAGAAGCTTTGATACTGCTTCAAAGCCACACGAATCATTGACTATTTACAATTATACAACTATTTACAACTTAATTGAGAAACTAACACAACCAATATGGTCAAAGAACGATGCCTAAGCAGCAGTCGTATTTCGAGTAGAATTCCTGTCACCACTAATTTGTGCCATGACAATACCCATACAAAAAATTTTCGCATTTCCATAGATAAATGCATACGCCTGGAATGAAAAGGGGATTGAAAGATAATGATTAGATGATTTTACTAGGAGATATTTTTTCTGGGGATTTCCCTAGGGCACCCAGCCAGATATGTATTACGAGGAATAATGGGGAATTTCAACTGATCGACAAAGAAAACGTCGTAATCGCTTTTGTACGTGCAATTCAAACTTAAAAAACACCTAAACATCGAGCGTGATATATTGGAGTTTGATAAAAGAAGTCCGCTTGAAGTTCAAAAATTGTTGCGAAATGTATACGTTCAACGAAAACATTATACATGGGAAGAGTGTATTGATGATCTCCTTAGATTGCCAATAATAACTGCGTAACTTTGTAAAAATTTTGTCAAATTCTACGAAGCAAAAGGCGGAGAAGAAACAATTGATCGCCCTCAATTTAAGTGTTGTCAAGTGGTATAGTAAGTATAAATCGTAACATATAGATGGAACAAACAAACCGCCTATGATGCTGCAGGTGATCTGCTCTTTCGTGGCGGCCATTCATCGATAGGAACGCCACCTTCACACACGACAAACTCATCATCGTCTGATGAATCGCTGGAGTCTAGACAGGATACTGTTATCTCAAAGAACAATTGAGTGTAACAAAAACTAACCTGTATTCTTCTTCGCACGTTTTCGAGGTCCCTCGCTCTCGTCCTCACTAGACGGTTCACTCTCCTCAATGTCATTTTCAGCATCTCGAGAAACTGATGGCAACGCCTCATCAGCGCTACCTATCGACGGCCGTTCAGAATTACGAATCATTCGCCATCGACGTCGCCGAAAAGCTGTAAAAAGTAACATGTCCCCATCACAAATAAAAGCACGGTATAAACCTCGTAGTGCGCCTCGCAAACTCTCTTCATCCTCTGCATCGCCATCTCTCACCACTTCTTCGCCTTCACCACGCTCACCATCGTCGTCATCGTTGTCGTCGGATGCGCTGCCTTCGTCGGACGCCTCCAAGCCCATCAGATGTGCACGAAGTCCTTCAAGGTCGACATTCACAACGTAGTTATCTATAATCTCATGCAATTCAAGAAATTTCATGCAAAGCGAGCTAAAAAAGAGTGAGAGTAACGAACAACCGAGTCCACCTAACGCTAGAACATAGTCCTCACCAACTTCCTCCTCATCAGGAGAGTCGTCAGCATGCAATCTTGCTATCTGCAATAAGCTGTTTCGAAAATTTTGACAAAGTATCATGATCAACCCAATTAAAGCGAAACTATAACAAGTATATCCGTAATTTGTCTATGTACTCAGTTCCCTACTAGATGTTAACACAAACAAAATAGAAGAATATGAAGTCTACAACTCACGTTATCCAGCTGATCAAAGTAGTTTAGCATATTGAGGTCCTCTGCTGTATCATCAGCTACCAAACCTTCGTCGAAGCTCAGCTCAGGCAAGAAGGCTTTCTTGACTCGAATGCGAGGTTTATCATAAGAGTGAGGAATAGGCAATGAGCTCCAGACCTATCGTATATATAGTTTCATATCATGCAAAGCGATATTTTACAAGAATGTACCTTCACGATCTTTTCCACTCCACACGAAGTGATGATCCTATTCGAAGGGCTATACCGGACATGATTCACGATGGATCGATGGCCTTTCAGAACAAAGTCTGCTTTGAGAACGCTGCCTTTTTCATCTGAAATGATCTCAACTTGATATGATGACCTTAAGCTATCTCTCCTAAGCTAGCACTAATGGTAGTCACTTAAAATTATACGAAGAAATGTATATTTTACAATCCTAACTCCGAAAAGAACAAATTGTTCTTTACTACTTTAATAATAATAATACTACTACTACTACTTCTTTACTGTTTTGACCACTGTGTAACCAAGCAATTGCTGAAGGCTTCTTACAAGTAAGTGACAAAACTGAAGAAGTTTTGGCGATTGAAACCTAACTTGATGCCACCCTTCGATATTTTGTAAAAAAACGAGGAGGACATAAAAGCAATAAAAAGAGGTCACATGCGATTACCATTACTTTTGAGCTAGCTCGAAAACAAGTACTAAGCTTGGATAACAACCTGTCGATCCAATGGTTTCAGGCACTTTCCATGCATAAATGTTGAAGTCGTCGCTTCCGGTCATTACTGTAGTGTCATCCATGAAGGTGACCGATTTAATGGTATGTACATTACTGTACTCCGGATCTTTTAGTTCTACGCAGGTGTGAGTTGAAAGCTGAACAGAAGGCGAAAGATTATCAGATGTAAAAGCAAACGTATATCGCTTACATCGATATAAGAGGGATCAGAGTGGGATTGCAAAGCTGCAAGTGCCGTTCCCGTCGAATTCCATTCTACATATATTGCCTCCTTGACAAACGTTCTCAGATCGAGTAAAGGTCTGAAAGAGATAGATCAGCTATTTTCGCACGAACTTACATTCATGATATACTAAATGCTGAAGGTAAGTATCATGCGCAAAAGTGCGTGCCCGCTTTTGACGCACCTATTGATCCATATTGGAATCAGGAAAAGCAACTTCAAAAGGCAAAAAACTACATGATGCTTGTCCCTACAAGAATAGGAGCAATGAAGCTATTCTCAGGCCATCTGGTTTTGCGCCGGAACCATTATGTTGTTCATTCAAAGAAATTACTTCGATGTATGCAATGCGGCTGAGAAACAAGAAGATAGGTGAATTCTTATTGATAGCAAATGCGCCAAACTTGAGAGAATTAGCAAAGAAAAAACCTATCCGCACACACAACAGCCATTTGGAACATGTTTAGCTGTTTCCCCTTACAAAATAAGAGTTGTAGTTAAGTTCGTAAAATAATCACTTACTTCCGGCGATTGCGAAGATCATAGAGACGTACACCACGATTGGATGCTGTTGCAAAGAAGAGAGCATTCGCTGGATTGTACTGACCGCGAAAAAGTTGTCCTGAATCTAATATATGTAAATGAAACAGATATTATATAGCATAACCAACAGAGCAGCAGTGGAAATCTAGATATGTTGAGATGTATAAAAAAATAGAAATCGAGCAGATGCTTGAAAGAAACAAATTTTTCTATGTTCAAAGAATATCAAAGAAGCATGTCTCCCATATAATGCAAAAACTATTGAACATGAAACACTGGAAGTGCAAAAGCTGCAACAGATGATAGAGAAAATTTCAGGTGTGGGAGCAGGGCCTGGCACCAGCTGGAACGGGGCAAGCTGGATATCGTTTTTGGGGCAAAAAGCAAAGGGGGTTTCGTTTTTGTGGGCGAAGACATACGGAAAATTGGCGGCGGCGACCTTTTTTTTTTTTTTTTTAGTCGACGTTTCGTTTTTTGGGGGATTTTGGGGATTTTTTTAGGATTTTAGGGGGGATATCGTTGAGGATCAAAGGGGACTTCGTAAAATTTCCCAAAAGTCAAGGGGGACTTCGTAAAAATTGGCAAATTTCAAAGGGGACTTCGTTTTCAAAATTCCCTGGTGCCAGCTCGTGCCGAGCCCTGTGTGGGAGTCATCACACGTGCACAATAACGGGTGGAGGACATTAGGTCGCCGAATTTGGAAGAGTCCCGCGCGGAGTCCCTGCAGGAACGCATGTCCGCGCATGTACAAGGGTGCGTATTTGTCGCAAATGACCGCGGGGACCGCCCTTTTTCGGCGACCTAATGTCCCCCACCCACAATAACTAACTCGAAGAAAAACAGGTGGCATCAGGACAGAGGAACGAACACTTCAATTAACACCGCTTCCGCGGACTACTGGTCCTAAGGCTATGCACAACAATAAGACGGAAGGACCAGCAGCTCACGGAGGCAGTGCCTAATTGAGGTGTTCGTTCCTCTACCATGTGACATCACATTGAACATACGAGAAACACAGCAATGCTCTAAAACATACCTTCATCGATGAGACAAAATGATCCTTCCTTACTTTCTCTGCGATCGTAGAATGATACAATGCCACTCTCTCGTGATGCCGCAACAACATTGACATCAATAGGCTAAAAATGAAAGAATTCAACTCTTGGACAAAGACTGCTCTACTTTTTCATTCAGATTTCATGAGTGTGACTACTGGAAACCGCGAAACAAATTTTCAAGAGGAGAATTCACCCCACTAGGCGCGCAAGGTGGGAAGCGGGGGAGGGGGGGGGGAGCGAGTGAGAAAGCAATTGATGGTGTCTCTTCTAGACAGATAAAATAAGAAATCATGGAAATGCAATGGTATGAAAACGAAACAATGACTTTGAAAACATGCAAATATCCAGTGATTTCAACGTCATGTTACCATCCAATGAAAACTTGAATTTATTTCGAAAATTTGGCATGAACAAGAAAGTTTTGTAATCTTATAAGTGAGCGAAAATGAAAAATCTTCAATCCTCAAATATGCACACACCTCTCATTCTAAAAATATGAACCAAGCCTTACTCTCTGCTCAGACGTTGAATCTTTGGTTAGACTTGAAATCTGTTTGTCCGTAAATGTGTTAAGACATTGTATAAAATCTTGAAACACGCTAACTTTGAAAATCAAAAGGAAGTCAAAAATCAAAGAAAAATCTACCAAATCTACTAAATCACATTGATTTTATAGAAATTGGAAGGAATCACGAATAAAGACCCTCTATTGGTTGAGCAGCTCAACAGAAGTAATGATCCGCCATCCCATGGCCATTTGATGTCAAAACAAAATGCAAGTAAAGCAGACAAGACTTCAAAAGTACAGATAAGATAAAGAAAAGGGGCGACGCTGATAGAAACGAAACTCTTAATTCTGCGTCTTTTATCTCAATGCACCAAAAACCTTCAAGACGATATAGAAACGAGCGCAGACTAAGTTTACATCAAAAACGACTAGAAGAAAAACAACTAAGTGTTTCAATCTCACGCACAAGCACGCCTCCGGAGTGGATTTCAACTCATCCTAAAAGCAAGCCCTCTCGTTCCTAAATCTACAGCCTTCAGGATTTGAAACCCACTTTGTTGTCTGATACCAACTCTTACTTAGCGCTTCGATGGAATGGGCTCCAGATAACAGTAATTTTTTACCATCCACTATACAGTGCTTTTTATTCAAAAAAAAACGCAGCTCACGTTGGCAGAGATACTGTAGACTGGATGCCGATCTTCATGCACACTGAGAGGATTGTGAGTGGCAACGTCATGACGTATGACAACTCCATCATTCCCACCAGAGAACAGCTCCGCGCCACTAATGAAAATACATCGATTTATGAGTAATGGAGAATAAAAAGAAACAAACTCGATAGAAAATTGATAGCAGAAGATATTGGAATGGTGGCACCGCTCCATAATTATGGCAGGTTTCGGCGCTTCTTCCAGGATCAAATCCGCCACACGCCATACAAAAACACGCATATCATCGCCACCTACAACGATTTTCCTAAGCTGCACAAATTGGAAAAACTTTAGAAAATACCAAGGAAACATTCAAGCAAATGGGTCTTCAAAGAATGGTATTATATTCAGACATTATCACGTGATGAAATTATTAGCCTCTTCTTTTGGATTCGCAAAGAAATCGAAGCAAAGCCACTATAACTTCAAATACTCCCGTCACATGCATGATCATTTCCGATAATACGGACATATTGAAAAACACAGGCCTATGCTCACGATATAGATAGGATACAGCCCAATGAATTTAGCAACAGGGAGTTTATCTGTCTTTCATTGGCTTCATCATGGAAATGCTTCCAGCAAAAAACGGAGTGTGCGTGTAACTTGTGCTTCCAAAAACCATGTATACCTCCTCAAGGAGTAGTTTCACTTTGACTTTACGATTTGCATTTGTTATTGGCATCAACTTCTCATACACATCGTCAAAGGCAGTGGCTCGGCAACATAACGCGTCAGCTTTCGGTGGTGTTAAGTAGAAGACAGCTCAAGCACCCGTAGCCTCGTCCTGAAAACGAGGTTCAAAAGTCTACCAGCCCCCCCTTTCCGTTGAGTGGATGTCAATGGTGGGCAAAATGCCTTTTAAGGATTAGCGCATGCATTGGTACATGGGGTTTCAGCAACGATACAGGATCTACTACTCAACCTCGTCAAAATACGGCAGTGATCCACTTTGCCGAGCCAACCCTTTCACATGTTAAAAAATGTTTCTTGTCTCTTTCGTTGACAGAGATGATCCTCAAATCATTCAAATTTCGGGAAGAATTATCTGAATATTTAAAGTAAGGAATTTCTCCTATGAAAAAATAACTCGGATGGCCACGGAGCACAATTACATGAATTGGGTTTGCATCCCGTCGTTTCCAAAGACCGTTAAAAGCATGGCTAGGGAAAATTGCGACTGCGAGCTTTCCACATCATATGGCCTTCTGGAAGCGCTGAGTCCAGTGCTGTGCTTGAAAAGTCCAAAAGTGCTTTTTACGGTGTTTTCCTACCGTGGAGATAGCTGGATGAGATGGGCGAGGGATTCCCGCCATAATCGCTGGCTGCAGGAGACTGTAACTCCACCCATTTTGCTGGTAAATGGCCGATCGGCTCGGGCAGCCAACTGCGATGTTGGCGGAAATCCCTCGCCCATCCTCTTCAGCTATCTCCAGGGTAAGAAAACGCCATAAAAAGCAATTTTTGACGGTACAAGCATAGTAATGGATTCAGCGCATCCAGTAGGCCATGTAGGTGTGGAAGGCTCGCAGTGGCAATTTTCCCGAAGTCACTGCCTGTTAAGCACTTATGAGCAGAAATGTAGGAAAAAAAACCATTACTGAGCTGCTTTTCCCCATCAAAATTAGCGCGATAATACGCAGCATCCCCAGAAAAGAATGCAGCCAGAGCACAAAAGGCCTATATTATCAGTATCTTCAAAACCTGAGTGGACACAGTATTTGAGATATAAACATGCTAGAGATGGCCAAACTGATGTTTGCTTTCAGCCCAAACTTTTTTTTTGTAGAAAAGTGTTTCAAAAAACCTCGATATCATTTAATCAGGTGTTTAGATTACATAAATTCCCAGAAACTAACCGCTGGCTAGTAATGTTTCCGTTTTGTTGAATTCCACCGCATTGACGCATCCGGTATGACCAAGAATATCTTTCTGATGTACAGCCATGGGTTTCCCTCTGCCTATGCGAAAGATGTCATCCTAAAACAGCCAAATTTCGGAGGTATCCATCTTACCAACAAAAAAAGGAAATCGATAATGCAGTCAAAGTTGAGATTAGCTGGCATTTCTTTTTTTACATCAGATATATAAAAAAAGTGAGTATTCAGGAGCTCCTGATGCATTACTGTTTGATAACAAAGGTACAACGTTTGATCACTATTTTTCGCTAAAAGTTTCAGAGGTGCTTATGACCGTTGTTTTCAACACTAAAAAACACTTCTTTTCTGCATTTGTAATCGATGTCAGAAGCTTGCATCACTTGCTGTCTTAAAAAAAGATATTGGAGATTAGAACAGATTTGATCTTCGTGTCGTCTGCATTTCTATTCTGCCCTTGGAAGCGATTAAATCTGGGTGTATAAAGATTACGTGGGGATCTCCTAGATGTCCTTTGATAGCGCCAATTCTGACGTTTTCCACGAAGTTGACAGTGTTCCACCTCCGCGTAATTTGTGGGTTATCATCAACTTCCTCCACCTTCGGAGCACCATCATCAGTTTCCGCAGATGTCATAGCCTAAATAGAACAAAATGTTTTGATTATCGACGGCAGAGCTAGAGAAAAGATAAGGCCATGCCAATCGGAGTATTAGATACGCTTAGCGAGGTATGTTCAAACGAAAATCGATATACCACTCTATTTTACTTTTAAATGCGAATTTCACACTACTACAGCGAAAAGTAACGAAGAAAACCCCCGTGAAGATAGGTTTTGAGTCTAAAAAACTACAGGTTACATTATAACAACCCCCTCGATGAATGACACAAACTATAACGACGAAGATAAAGCAGAAATGGGTCTCATATGAGCGCAGATCTGATTAGTCGTTGATTCAATACAACGTTCTGTATGTACACAATTTCACGCATAAAACGACCTCGAATTCGATTCAAAGTGAATTTCCACGTTTACCAATGTCTTTGTGCTGTCGATGCAAGCATGGAATGGAAGCACAGCTCAATTTTCATTTCTCTATCTCTGCTAATTTTTTCTAATTATGTGGAGTTCCTAGCATTGGAACTCAAGACATCACAGGCTTACCAGATTTTGAGTGAAGATTGAGGAAGATATGGGGGAGAAAGAGAGAGAAAAAAGAGTTAGGGCAGGGTACCCTACCCCTTCAGGCAAGGTTTTGAGCAAATTCGAGTCTTCATCCCCCAGACTAAGTATCGTCGAAATCCGCTACTTCATTTTTTTAGTCAACTAGTGTGGAATAGCGCCAACTGATCTCATGTAATTAGGATTCAATCGATAATTTACTTTTTTTTCTCTTAAAGCTAAGTTCTTCGGGCGGGTTTGGGCGTATTCGGACGTATTTGGGCGTATTTGGACGTATTTGGGCGTATTTGGGTGGGTACAGGCGCGGTCTGAACGATCCCTTATAAAATCGTGACGACAAATTTGGCAGCGGCCTACGCTCCCAAAGGAGCAGAAATTACTCAAACAAAAAGGCATCAGCTCAACTCTCAGCTCAGTCACTTCCAACGTTTAAATGTCATATGTAAGGAAAAGCCATTCGAGTAGGGATGAAGATTGCTTTGTCGTGAGCTGCGTGTGTGTCGCGCGCATTGTGTCATCCTCACGACTTTTCGAATGCCCTATAAATACCTGTAGGAATGAGCGAAAGTACCATGTAATGTCGATCAGGACACACGGACTGGACATCACTGCGAAGCATGAGAGGCGCTTGATCCGCAGGGTTTGTGCCCGTGCGGTCAACGAATCGACGGTATCTACAGTTTGCTCCAATCGGGATCAGGCCATACCGTCGGCGTAAATTTGCACGCTCGCAAAGCTAGCGGTCTGCGCTGCATATGCGCGCTGTCGGAGAGAGCAAAAGGATTGAAGAGAGAGAGCAGAGAAACAGGCCGTGGGCGTGACCGCGAAACCCTAGCTACGCGGACTCCCGCCATGCCAATTTTGGCCTGCTTGGGATTGGGGCAGACTGTACAGAGTCGCTGAAAACTCCTTCAAGAATAATATTGCAACGAAATAGGCAGATAATTTCACAAGATCAACAAAGTATGTCAACTCAACAATTCATTACGTTTGAATATCTTCACTGTTCAAAGAATATTTTTTGGCGTCGACGCACCAAATGCTCGGCCGTCCACGATGACACGGTGATACTTGTCAATGCCCTATTATGCAGCAAATCTCAGAGACTCTGCAGTTTCTTCAAACAAGCGCAGGCTTTGGCTTCAGGAAGTGACCTGGTGTTGTAATCAAGGGATTCAAATCTGGCGTGTAAGCTGGCTGTTCTGCGCGGTGATGAAAACTCCACATCGCTGATTTGGGGTCGTGCTTAAAGGCATTGTCCGGGCAAAAACTCGATCTTGGAATGTTTTGGTTACCCGGGCCTATTCGTTACGCTGAATCCGAAAATGCGCATTGGAGAGCGCGAAAAAGGCGAAAAACGGCTTTAACACGGGAGGGAAATAAGCAGATGGGCGGGGTCCTCCCCACTGCGAATTTCGCAGTGGGGAGGACCCCGCCCACTTCCAATTTCCCTCCTGCATTAGAGCCCTTTTTGCCGTCTTCGCGCTTTCCAATGTGGATATTCGGATTCAGCATAGTGAATAGGCCCAGGTAAGCACAAAATCTCAAATTGACTTTTTGCCCGGACACTGCCTTTAACACATTGACGACAAGGCCGATTTTTCGATTACTGCCATTTCGGACAGGAGCCTTTTTCGCTTCGTCAAAATTACAACCCACCCGTGGGTCGTATTGTCCGAAATGGTAGTCTTTTTGGAAGAGATTCAAAACATGTCTCCGAGAATTTCCCCACAAGGGTTATCGAAGACGCTGATTGCCAAAATATGATTTACTTCAGTTTTTGGCACTATACGGTAAGGTTGCGGTAGTCACTCTGTACGAACCAAACATCATGGATTTTCATGAAAAATTGTGTTTTGGGGTTATCTCACGTGCTGATCACGATTAAAGTGTCCACTTTGTTCACCACTTTCCCACAGTGGGACTACGGTAGCAGTACGGTAGGATTTTCGCAGAAATCAAGAAACTGATGTAAAGGTGGTATCAAAACTTGAGACTATCATTTTCGTAATCAGCATGCTACAAAACCTATATATGCAAAGTTCGAGCATCCTACGATGAAAAATGCAAAAAAATCAATAACATCAATAAAATCGATAATTTTTTGGTGGGCTAACGTCAACCTCTTGCCCGCCTCGTATTACTCTTACATGTAAACTTGATTCTCCAGAAACAGCATCATTTTGCAAAGAATTTGAGGTAAAAGTCTGTGCGTAATATCATTACTTATAATAACGGGCTAAGGATGTTTACGTGACTTTGTGTGTGTGTGTGTGTGTGTGTGTCTGTGAGTGTGTCTGTTACGAAATTCGTAGAGCATGTTCAGCCAACCTCCTGGGCTCAAATTTTGCACAGCGCAAGGTACCCGCATGAAAGTCCAACATACAAAAGCACGAGCAGATTCGTTGAGTGGATCCCTCAGAAACTGCACCTCAAATGGAACCACTTTGCATTTGGGCCGCAAAATTGGGTCCGTAATTCCACTTTTGCAGAGTCGTGGATGTTTATGCCAAGTAGATGTGCAAGCCATGAACTTAGGCGCAAAAAAAGTGATCAAAAGTCCATTACTTTACAAAAACGTCGCCAAAAAGCATTGGTTGCGTAAATGGTCAATTTGCCAAGGTCGTACCAGAGCATTTGACGAGATTTTTGCACAAAGATGTAGCTCACAATGACTGCTGTTCTTATTGCAATGTCAAGACCATGGGAAATCAAAAACCTATAAAAATATGCGTTTGTTTTCGTGCAAAAAGTCTCATCCAGGCGAAGTCACCGATTTAACATAAAAAAGCTTCAAGAATGAGTAGTTGTTTACATTTTGTTCGTGATAATCGGCATTGCTCGGTGAGTTCCAATGCCATCATTATGCGAGAATGAGTAGGTCCTAGATAGTAGAGCCAGTGCGAGCCTCTGCGAAGCAGAGGTGACGCACTGGTATATATATATATCTATAGTATACCTACCGTAACATTATATTACAGTATCCCGAGCCCGGACCACTCTGGCTGAAGCTTCACCTAGGTGCCCCCAATCATGTGCCAAAACCTCGTAGAATTCCATCGTAAACTGGCAAAGATAGCGCTTCATAAATCTTACGATCCACCGGTGGGTCGTATTGTCCGAAATGGCAGGACACGTACGACCCACCGGTGGGTCGTATTGTCGTCAATGTGTTAAAGGCAGTGTCCGGGCAAAAACTCGATTTTGAGATTTTGTGCTTAATTGGGCCTATTCGCTACGCTGAATCCGAAAATGCACATTGTAGAGCGCGAAAATGGCAATAACGGCTCTAACACAGGAGGGAAATGAGCAGGTGGGCGGGGTCCTCCCCACTGCAAATTCACGTTCCCGGCTTCCGGAGCGACCTTCTCGCTTCCGGTTTTGAGTCAATCATTCGCACTTGGCCGGTAGCGATGTTAGAACGGCTAGCGGAATCGAGAAAATCGCTCCGGGAGCTGGGAGCGTGAAATCGCACTGGGGAAAGCCCCGCCCACCTGCTGATTTCCCTCCTATATTAGAGCCCTTTTTCGCCGTTTTCGCGCTTTCCAATGTGGATTTTCGGATTCAGCATGGCGAATAGGCCCAAATAAGCACAAAATTTCAAAATCGAGTTTTTGCCCGGACACTGCCTTTAAATAAGCTTTTATCAAGCACTCTTCGGGTGCGGGTACCAGTTAAGTCAGCTATTCCTAATTCAAGATGCTATCCAAGTATGTAGCGATATATGGCGGCACACCTCCTCTGCATTTTACGTGCACCAATCGCTCCGCTTAAGAAGGCATATTTTCGATGAAAAGTTATCACCCGTTCTTGGCTTTTGAATGACAATATGTGAGCAAATGTATGTATCGTCGACTTCCAGATTCGTGTGGAGGTGGAGTCTTGCCAGCTCACAGCGTGGCGGTTTTTGCTAGCGAGAGAGTACGGGCAATGCTATAACGTGGAGATTTAGCGAGTTTATCCTTGTTATCAGGCAAAGTCTGCAATACACTCTTGTACATGTGTGGACATGCGTTCCTGCAGGAAATCCGCGCGGGGCTCTTCCAAATTCGGCGACATATGGTCCTCTACCCCGCTGCAGCCAATGACAACATCGCAACAGCCGCGTCCCAGCACGATTTTCTTCAGTAAAAACGAGGGATATATTATTTAGACAAGGGTGCTTAAACGATTCGCTTCAAAAGCAATATTCTATAGTCACTAGCGGGCTATGGTTTGCATGGGTAGCTTGCAAAGGGGCTTGGGCTCAGTAAACTGTTGAGACTATTGGTGCACCGGTCTGCCTGGACTGCCTTTAGGCACATAAGAGATTGCTCTTTTCGATTTGCAAAAACACGAAAGAAAACATCAAGGTTCAATAGGTACGTCGAAGGCTGATGCATGTATTGTCTACGTTCCGCTAGATTCCATTTAAGTGCTTATCATGAGCTACAAACACATTCAACTATTTCATTGGTATATAAACATAACCTAGTCTACCTATACTACTGCAGTTTATTAGTATCAGATAACAAACAACAACTAAAGCGTCAACAACTACATTCCAACAACATGTGACCTGATTGTAATAAATGCTAGAGAAGTGAAAAATTCTATCAAATCTATAATCTTTGTATTATGACATGATACTTTGAGCATAGGTGCGATGGGGTGATCGGGGTCCCCCGAAAGTGAAGGGTGTCCCAGCTGATTTTGACCCCCAAAAGTGAAGGGTGTCTGGAAAGTGCCGGCGTCGACCGGGGGGGGGGGTTGAAAAAATGGTGAAAATTATAAAATTATCCAGTTTGAATGGTCAAATTCTCTAAACTGGATTTGTAAATATAATTAGTGAAATGTTTATAAGTACATTGTTTTGAATTTATATAAATATTATTTCATTTTCATACACCATTTTTCGGTGAGAGGATACATGTTTAGGTGGGTGGAACGTGTATGTAAATGTGATTTCGACCGAAAATTACAATGGAATGGCAGATACTCGAGGCTTGAAAGGTGCTGAATGAAGTTTTACCTGGAAGTACAAATGTGGATAATGTTAATAAGAGACTCCGCGATGATTAGGAATTATTGTTGCAAATAAATCCGTAAGTCGGTATCTGTGGAGTACAATAAAAAAATTTGTTGCTCAATTGTGTCCACTTGAAGCAGAATAAACATACACAGTGTAGCACAGTGATAAGACTAGTATGACTGATGTCAGGAAAAATTCCTAGGGCAGTAAAGTTGAAGCTACGATGTTGACGATAATTGAGCAAGGTCACTTTTTCCTACTTGTGTAACTTGCAGTAGATCGCCCTCTAGTATAATTCTTGTATAAATGGGCTAAAGCCAATTTTGAGCTAGATTCGGATTCCAGCCTTCAAAAGCTATACAACGATATATAATTTGTGAGGTGCAATATCTTTGCGAGGTGAGATAGTTTCCAGAGGTCCAACGGTACCCCCCCCCCTCCACGTCAGAGCCCCATATCTCCACGGTGGGGGCATTTCATGATTTAATTTTTTTTGCATCTTCAAGAGGGAGGTCCATTTAGTATTACCTATACCCTCGCAAAGAGATTCCACGGGAGCGACTGACTTAAATTTCAAATTTACCTGTGTTTTTCAAGCGCCTTTTATTCCTTGCTGTAACTCTCCTTCAGTATATCCGATCTTTCTGCGAGGGTATAGGTAAGACTCAGTAAACCTCCCTCTGTAAGACGCAAAAAAAAACTGAAGCACGAACTGCCCCCGTCGCCGAGATATGAAGCTGCAAAAAACCCATCAAAAATCGATTTTTTTAATATAACTCTTATATAAGTAATTAATTCAAAACGGGAATAGTGTAGGTAGATTCGTCTCCTCAAGAGCTTTCGAATGATATATAACATGTGGGGGTTTACTGCTTCCGGGTTGCGGGAAGGGGGGGTGATCGGTCTCAGTTCAGGGCGATCACCTGGCGGCGCCTCTCCAATGCATTAAGGTGGCGGGGGGTGATCACCCTGAACTGAGACCGATCACCCCCCCTCGCAGAGCTTAAAAAAAATAGGACCCCCACATGCTATATATCATTCGAGAACTCTTGATGAGTACTATCTACCTATACCCTTCCCATTCAATTTCATTCACATACATACAAGTTATTTGCAAAAAATCGATTTTTGGAGGCGTGATTTTTGCTCTATTTGCGACTTCATAACTCTAAGAGGAATACTTTTTAGGATCTACTTTTTTTTTCTATGTGATAGAGGAAAGGTTCCTTATTAACGCCTATACTCTCGCAAGATGAAATTCTGCAACTTACTCAAATTATACTGACTCAAAAACTGACTTTTCTTAAATTTGGCCAACATTGTGACTGCAACTGTGCTGACCTAAAAATTTCTCCTGACACCATTTGTACTAATTTTATCATTGTTCTGGACTCTATATCTTTATCTACTTTAAGCGAACACAAATGAACACCATTCTTTTATTGTACTACATAAATATCGGCATAAAATTTTATTTGCAAAAAAATAAAACATGATCAATGCAAGGTCTTTTATTAACATCAACCACATCAATATTCTCCAGGTAAATCTGTCGTCCATCAGCGCCTTTCAGGCCTCCAAAGTAACTGCCATTGTCCGCTGCCCATGTTATTGTCGGTCGAGATCATTTCTATAAGATCTGCGTTCGATCCTTCTGAAAATGCATTTGTTCATTGATATTTTTGTAATTGTGCAGTAATTCCTCACCTTCAAAAAAAATTTTCGTCCGTCAGCTGAAGGGGGGGGGGGTGGTCCGACCTCCAAAGTGAAGGGGGGGTGAACTTTTGTTCACCCCATCGCACCTATGACTTTGAGCAAAGATAGAATCTGAGACGAGAAGAAATCAACAAAATAATAACGTAGGCCGGCTATTGTATAGCAAGAAATCGTAATAGTCTTTCGCGTATCTCCTCGCTCTTCGCCGCTTCCAGATGAGTCGAGTCACTCGAGAGGATGCCCTTATAGCGCAAGAGTCGAATGCAATTTCGAAATGAATCCGAATTTACTGCTTCCACTGAATATAACTGTATGGTAAGACGTTCAACACTCTACATGCAAAAGCAGAGAAGTAAACACAATGTATTGTCACATGACTAACAATTCGCAATATACAAAAGAGAAAAAACTGAGCTTACACAAAAGAGGGAATGGTAGAAGTGACGGATTGATGATGCAGTTCTTACACCACTCTTTGATTGTCTTGGACTCTGAAATACGAGTTTATAAAATGAAGAAAATTGCATTCTCCCACAAGAGAAATATAAACAATGCGATATTTACCCTCAGCGACGGAATCACCAGCAAGCAGCTTGGTAATGACGATGTAGAGCGATTGCAAGAATGGACGCAGAAAGTTGGAGTAAAATAATAAGAGCTCATGGGACATTACATCACGGACCTGAAATTCACTTGACTCCTTTACTCAAACATACCATTTGTTTGCATAGATAAGATGAAACACTGTTCTTCAAATAATTATTTACTGCGCCTGTAAGACAAACATCATCAGCTTTTATAAGTGAACTTGATTCTTCCTTAGTTTCAGAACTGTCAAGGAGGTGTGAAAATAACATTACAAAACTTGAAACTCAAATTTATATCTCTACCTCAAGCTTCAAATGAGCAGCTTCATCAAAATCGTCTTCCTCGTCACATACTAGTCGAAGAATACCAGAATCAATGTGACTTAGACCATTTCGACCAAGAACTTCCACTATGACAGCACGAAGATCTTCACATGGCTAAAACAAAGCGAGCTCATGATGTAGTATGAGTGAATACGTCAGTACTAACATAAACTGCAGTACTTCTGATCTCATAACTTTGACTGAAAAGATGGCCTAGTTGGGAAATATGCTAGAACACTAACTTTGCAAAATATGACTTCAAACTGCATCCATTCGCAGATAAAGGCCACATCATTCACAACATCTGCAAAATCGACACGAGGCGGATTCTGTGCACTTAGCACAATACCTGAAACACGTCAGTACAATTTTCACGATACACATTGCATCCTACGTATATTACTGACTGGAAATTAACTACTGACTGTTTGGTATATATGAGCGATATTCTAAGGAAAAACAACAACGAACCTACAGCTGACTTTAGAGCAAAAAGTGGAAGTAGCGAATTCTTGTAAAAGGCCATGTTCACAAGCTGCCGATGGGTGTTGATCAGGTGGATGTCGTCAGCGCCAGAATCACAATCTACGTGGCGCTCAACGGATTTCCGCATGTATTGCAGGGCGTACTGTAAAACTCAAATAGAGTGGCTTACTTCATTCAAATGGTGTTTGTTGGAAATTTTAGAAAAAAGTAAAGAAATCACAGTAAGCAGATAACGTCTTTTATTACATTTTTTTGACTGCAATGGCAACCATGAAACGGCGCTTACCTCAACTGCAATTCGGCCATGTGTTTCCCCACTGTGCCAGCCCATGACATCAGAACCGTCATGAATAATTTGATCACATAACCATTGAGTGTCAGCGGATAAAACTTGTAAGGTGACACCCTAGACAAGATATTATCCACGCACTAGACGCAAGTAGGCAAAACAATGACCTGCCGAAATTTGCACATCAAAAGAGCGCTAACAACGGTCACCAGCGATACTGACACCATAGACTGAGCTTCTGAATGAGAACATGCAAGAAGAACTCAAAATTATCAGAGCATGGCTGCACACAACTTACCATAGACGACATGATAACCTATAGCTCGGATCAAGCTGCGGTAGTCTGCTTCCTCCTTATGCCTAGACTGCCAGGGCACCAGCTCCCTGCAACACAATAGTGATGAGGCTGTCAACTGCTGACAACAGCTTTTTGCCACCTGTAGGAGGAACAATGGGGTAAACGACCGAGTTGAGGCTTTACTTCGCGAGATACGAGAGCTTCATGGAGAGCATCCAGGTAATCCTGAACTCGACGCCGATGCAGATTAGTCAACGATAACAGTGTCTAACCGAAAGAAGGATAGGTGTCCCATAATGCATACGAACAACACCACATCTTTTTGGTTTGCCAAAGCTTCTAAATATTCCAGTGATGACACCGATGACACTTTCACGTTTCTGGAGTGGTTAATTATCAGGTAATATACCACAACATGATTATTATATCGAGCAACACAGAAAGTTTTTCTAAACACGCTTACCTTGGGGATTCCCATCAGCTCGTCCAAAAAGACCCCTTCAGCAACATTGTCGTACGTATAGGAAACAGGCACAAGATAGCAGTCAGAAATTACTTCTGAATATAGATAATTTCAACCTGATATAGATTTATGACACGACAAATCACTTACTTTCCTGCACAGCAGTAACGACATTCGATATGAGACCGTGTTTTGGTAACAATGGTTTGCCAAATCGACTCCTAAACGAAAGAATGGATGAGATACAAATTCCCATCGGCAAAGCAGAATGTACGCTGAGAGGATTATCTGGAGTAGCAATAATCAGAGATCATCCGAAAGGTAGAGAACATTATGTTGTTGTTAGGTCTCGCTTGGCGGAGATCTATCACAATCATGCAAATTAACAATAGGCCAGTAAAAAAGGGCTCGAGTCCGCCGAGCCCTTGACGAGAAAATGTCCTCTAATCCTACTCCTCTAATTAATGTGCATAGTCCATCACATAGCCAGTAAAAAGATCTGCTTCACATCCCACGACATAGGCATGCTCCTTACTTGATCCACTTCGCCATTAGTCAGCTCAGTGAACTGAACAATAGCGAAGTGGATGAAGTGGATCAAGTATGGAGCGTGCCTAAACAGACAGGGAAACCAACCTGGTTCCTTCCAGAAAGAACTCTATGCACATTCCTTTCTTCAGAACTTGTTCTATGTACGAGTGAAGCACAGCTCTGAAAAGTTGACTTGAGTCAAAGAAGATCCATGTTCGTCTAAAAAATAAACAAACTCAATGATCGAAAAAAGAAAAAAAAAGATAACGGAACGTCAAAGAATTACTGATAAAGAAAGGAAGCTTGTGATAAACGAAAGATCAAAAGCAAGAAAGATTAGACAGTGACAAAAAAGAGAATTTATAATTTAAGAATAACCCAACCTGTAGATTGCATCCTTGCCAGTCTCATCATGCTCATCAACTCTTCGGTGAATGAAGAACGCACCAGTTGCGCGAAGAAGCCACCTGAGTCTTATCAATTTTAACAGGGAAGAAAATCCTATTTATGGAAAGAGTTTCGTACCCAAGTCCGCTCAAGTTCAGGTTGTCCCCGGACGCTATATGTGGCAAACGAAGGCCAAAATGCCACGAGGCCCAGGTGATAAGCAGATAATCAAGATGAGAACGATGTAGAGGCAGATATACAAGTGGAATTCCAGTCTGCAAATCATGTGAGAAATTGAAGCTTCGAAGTACAATAAGATACCTTTTCAGCGGCAACAAGTCGCTCCATCTGGTGCGGACACACGAGCAAACGGGTCATCAAGCGGCGGAATACCTGAGTCAATGAAATAAGTGAAAACAACAACGTAAAAAACATTAACATACCTTGTAGAGAAGATATCCACATATTTTACAGATGAATCGCGACAAAGTAGCTCGAATTTCGTAGTAAAACTTTTTAACTTTTCTTTTTATTTTGTAAACAGAGACATCTGGAGTCCGCAATTCTTCCGCTTCTATTGCCGAATCCACTCTGGAAAAGTACAAAGCGGTTTATTGTTCGCCCATTGTAACAAGAAAAAGATTGGTATATTTAGGTGATTAGCAAAACGACTCTTGATACGACATGCAAGTTTTTTTATAATTGTCTAATCCTGAGTATACTTCGCATGAGAGCTACTCAAGATGAGTGGCGGGATATCAGAAATTCTCCTACTGCAAGCTATCATGCTCCCCTAGTGGAACGCTAGTCTTACAGTCTTTATGCAATATACAATTGCATGTTCTTGTCATTCTTGTACGATTATAGCCAGGAAAATCAAGCGCTGCCATTCCACTATGGTTAGAATTATGTCATAAAAAATCTCCAAGACAGACCTCCTAACAATTTGGCAAAGTTCGCTGAACAGCAAGTATAGCACGTAGATTTTTGAGACCGATGTAACCGTAATCATGAACCTAGACACGAAGATAATTGTTGCCATACTTGAGATAGCATGTTTACACAGAGCAGAGACCTTTTTCTCTAGAGCGACCAATCCACAATGATTAAAATAACACTTGAAACCACTCCTGGTCCCATAGTGATGCAGGAGAATTAGAAAAAGCTAGTCCTGCTCTATATTTCATAGGTCTAACCTCAAAATACCATTATCGCGTTATGACAATACATACACATGTGCATCGAGCATTAGAATGTGAGATAACGCTACTAAATTAAATTAAATTTCAAGGAGGGGAGGAACGAGGTCTTCCTGTAATGGGAAATTTGCGTTCGATAGGTTTTGTTGATGAATTTCTGATACTGGCCCACAAGTCATATGGAAGTCAGAGTCGAAGCGCACCTTGAGATCATGCTGTGTGTCTATTGAGGAGGTAAATGACTTACCTATCAGATTTGATCACTTCATCATAGACATTTGGATAAGAGTGAGGCAGAGGTGTTTTGAATGTATAACGAAGGTCTGCAAACCATGGTGACGGAGGCTGAGCACCGGGCAAGACAGGATACGGGAGTCCACCAAACTGAAACATCTGTCATTCCCACGATATTAGGCAACCTTCTCCAAAAAAAAAAAGATCCACTTAAATGCTACTCTAGCTTTCATGGTCAGATAGACAAAGTAGATACAAAATGCGCACCTACCCTGGAAAAGTCCAGGAGGTCGACATAACTCTGATGATAAATTGGTTGAGGCTGTGGAAAGCAGGTCTCACAAGGTCCATGCAGTCGTGGCTGATTACTATACGAGAAGTTTACTGCAGGAGAAAGCAACGGATACACCGGAAGATGTTTGTATGGTGCCGGTGAGAAACGCTGAAAGAGGATGATGTGTGAGCGGAGGTGCTCGAAGATCGATAATTATTTATTTGTAAAGGTTTTGTTTGCTGCACACTCGGAAGTGAATCCACATCGTTCCGGATAAAAGTTGATCACTTGTGTGCTGATAATCTAATCGAGGTACACCAAACATCATGAAAAGTCAGCTTTGGTGAATAGAACAGTCTTCTCCAATTCACAATTTCGTATACGATGATGGGGTAGTTCAGATATAATCAAAACCAGTATTACTTCATTTACTTGTGCCTAGCCATCAAAATATATACTCTTCTTGCCGTGTCAGTGAGCGCGATGGAAGCACAGATGCATTTGTATTGAGATAAAATGATGAACAAATATATAAGACACAACTCTGCGCTTTAATAGGCTATTTTCGATATTTTTATAATGAGAGGAAAATCTCACCTTTACTCCTGCAAGCCCGGATAAACCGAGAGAAAGAGACTCTCGCTCCGGCGCCACCATTGAGCCAAATTATCACTCAATTCAGTAAAAGCTGGTAGACAAGCACATCAGCATTCCAGAGTAGTGCTGAAATATCATCGTAGGACCAAAGCACCTGACACGACGAATAATGGCGAAAAAGTCAGGAGATAAAAATTCACGAGCGGATAACGAAGACAACCATCACTAGTGGCAATCGATCTTGGTCCTACCCAAAACTCTTGGAATTTCTTCTCACAAATGATGCAAGTTGAAAGTCGCGTCAACTCCAATTTCATTCTTCCCGCATCACTTCGCAGAACAAAAACACGACAATTGCGCGTCAAAGAAATGACTTGTGTGACTACGTCCGCTCGTACGTCTTGTTGCTCAGACACTCGCACCGGCCGGCGACCGCCCGACGAGCGTCTGGAACATCACCGATATTTCGGCCGAGCCGATCGCGGGCCGGACGCCAGCCGGTCAGAAATTCGCACCGGCCGGCGACCGTCCGACGACCGTCTGGCGGGACAGCGTGGTCGTCTCAGCCGTTCGTGGGCGCTCGCCATCCGGTCGACGGACGGACGCCAGCCGGTCACACATTCGCACCGGCCGGCGACCGTTCCATGACCGGCTGGCGGGACATCGGGATCCGTCTCAGTCGTACGTGCTTGCTCGCCAGCCGGTCTTTAGCCCCGCCCTAAAAGTTGGCGCGGCCGCCGGCCGGAAGGCCTTCGTCGGACGGTCGCCGGCCGGTGCAAGTGTCTGAGTGCTCGCCATGAAGAACATCATTGTGATAGAGAGGGATGCATAGCTGCTTTGGAGTAGTAGTAATTTGGTCGAAACAATAATCTTGACCAAGTTTACATAACATGAGGCAGCCAGCAGCTTCGCATCAGTTGGGGGGCGGTCAAGAGGCGCGATTTTTCCGGCTGTCATCAACTCAAAACTTCAGTCTAATGGTATGCGAGTGTTCAAAAAGTACCGGATAAAGTGCATTAGCTTAATATCCACCTGAAGTTACCACTCGCAGAGTCTGGTGGCTTTTGCTGGAAAACGGACCCAAATATTTGTATATGGGTTTGTTCTTAGCTGCATTTTTAGTAGTTTTTGCATCTCAAAAGTGATGTTCTGAATTGATTCCGAGGTATTAAGATTGAACAACCCATGCGACTATTTAATATATCTCTTTCTAAATTTTAGATATTTTTGGAATGTTATAAAACATTTACTATGTGCTATTTGGGGGTGCGTAGCAAGTGTTACCCAGGCAGCCGCCTGGTGCCGCAGCCGGCTCCATGTCAGGAGTCACGCCGCGCGCCGCGCCGCTTCGCCGCTCACGTCGCGTCTAAATTTTGTACCCCATAAAACTGCCCGGTGTTAAAGTGGCACGGCGCCAGTCTAGGGGGGGTGGGGGGTGGGGGCAGATACATGGCTCGTGCCATAAGTAAGACTGCGCCAGGAGTGCTGGCTTCTGTTTTGCTGACATCGCTTGCAGCATCGTCGCGAAAAATTCGCGCCGACCGTGACTCCTGACCGTTCCCCGCCGCAGCCAGCCGCCAGAGCTGGCACCAACGCCGCGGCTGAGTTACCGTAAGCGCGCTCTCGTCGTCCTCAAGCTCTCTTGGAGAGATTCTCGCAGCAGCCTCGCACCTCACCATGCTGAGGTTCGAATGCCCTCAGAGGTTGCGCTACTGCCACATATCATACATCGATCAAGACAGCAGAAAATTTGTAGTTTATTAGTAAGATACAATACAAAAAATATACAAAAACAAAAAAGTTGAAATTCAAGCAATAAAAATATCCAAAAAAATCTCATCGCCTTCTCATAATCTAGAATTATTTTAAAATTTCCATTTCTTAGTTTCTCTTTCAGGCAGTCAAAAATAATTGTGGATGCCATTCCCGATCAGCGCTTTTGTCCGATTTCAATGACTATCTTAATTTTTCAAAAAATTCAGGTTGCAAAAATAATTTTGTGGGCATTTACCGCAATGATTACATCGGAGTAGCAGATATGAATATTTGGCAATGATCTGTAAAAAATCCTTCCCATCTGGTAAAATTCTTAACTTTTCAGAAATACTGTTCATTTCTACCTTAGTGATTTACAAGCATGCAGCTCTATAAATCGAGAGTTCATTAATTTTGAGATTAAAAAATAAACGAGGGATTACTTAGCAAACGAACAAAATTCAGTAAACTCCAGGTTCTCTCTTCTCTGAATCTGGGCATTTTATGTCGTAAATTAAATTAAATTAGAACATCTATTACAATTTACGACATAAGATGCCCAGATTCAGAGAATTTGTGCATAAGACGAAGTCTAGACTCGATAAGTACGGAGATGACGTTTGGCGGCGTAGTTTCACAGGTCAGGACTGCAATCATCTTTCAGACCTCCCAAGAAGACGACCTTGTCGAAACGTTAGGTCAATAAAGATACCACCATACTAATCTGGGCTTGGCAGAACATCTATTACAATTTAAGAACAATATTTATTCCATGATATTATGCCTTAAATTTAATTTTATAATTATTCCATCAATTTATTTTTCTGAACTTTTTTTTGTTTTTGTATATTTTTTGTATCGTATCTTACTAATAAACTACAAATATTCTGCTGTCTTGATCGATATCAAATATGTGGCAGTAGCGCAACCTCTGAGGAAATTCTCTCACCTCAGCGCGATGAAGTGCGAGGTTGCTGCGAAAATCTCTCTGCGAGAGGTTGAGGACGACGAGAGCGCGTCTATGGTAGCTCAGCCGCGGCGTAGGTGCCAGCTTTGGCGGCTGGCTGCGGCGCCAGGCGGCTGCCTGGGTAACACTTGCACGCCTCCCACCGGAGACCACGAGGTGGACTCAGACACTCGCACCGGCCGGCGACCGTCCGACGACGGCCTTCCGGCCGGCGGCCGCTCTTTAAATCTGGGCGGAGCTAGATACCGGCCGGCGACCGCTCCAAAGAAATCTACCGGCTGGTGGCCGCTCGAACGGCCCCAGCCGGTAACATTGCCATGTCGCGGGAAGTGAACGGGATTTGAAAGTTGCATGATTGAGCCGCGTAAGCAAACGCTCTACTTCTCCTCGTTTATGATTAAGCGCCATTTTTCTACTTCATTCATGTCTTGTTTACGTAATTTATCGTTAGAAGAAGGTTTTGTATGCTTGCCACTCAAAAATACCTAGAATTCCGTAGTGATCTTACTCTATCTTTGCTAATACCGCCCTCTTTTTCACAATCAAAAGAAAATCCCAATGACATCTGTAGCGCCTTTTTCAGATTTGTTGCTTGTCTTGTATGGCGATAAAGAAGTGACACGCAGAGCTGGAACATACTGACTGAGGGGTACAAGGCTTGAATTTCGCTCAGCTTCTTGACTAAACAAAAAAGAACGAATGGGCACGTTTCATAACCATTTTTTTCAGGAGACGAATGCGATATGCATGGTATTGAGATCTTGCGCTATGCAACCAGCGCACCATTGCTTGTACTCGCTGTTTTTTATCATCCTTACCCATGATGGAGCATATGACCTTTCGACTAACTTTTTATGTATCTCAGCACTATGCATTCATGGATTACGTGTGTACTACATGTCACACATTCTATGGGAATTGGAATCTATCTAGTTTGTGTTCTGCTGCAAGACTACTGACCTTACGCCTAACTCCTAGTATAGACACCACAAGACAGGTGCGTTCTTATCAAAAATTTGGAACTAGTCCTTGTGTGTTTCAGGGAAAACAACGTTCATTACTTGTCTGCTACAATTGCTTGAGCTTTTTGATTTGCTCTGCCCAGTCATATATAACACCGTCGGTAAGTTTTGGTGTTAACGGGATCATTTGTAAGTACCCTCGATATTAACCCATATGTCTTCCTTCAATGACGTGGATTATGTGGATTGGTGAGGCGCCGCCTCACTTCGGCTTGCGCCACATTGCGGGCGCATCGTTTGGCGTGACCTGGTGCACTAAATAAGATGGACCAGGCTTGATAATGTTGTTCTTCTTGCCACACCATGCCAAAGAGGCGCACGCAACGCGTGGCGCAAGCTTGAAGCGAGATGGCGCCTCACCAATCCATGTAAATCCATGTAATTCACGTCATGTTGAGGGAAGACATATGGGTTGATATCGAGGGTAGCTTATCTCATTTGCAGATCGTCTGCTATGTGGCATTTACATGATACAAAAGTGAACTTTTTTTTCAGTCCGGAATCAGCAGAAGGACGATATGCGAGCCCTTGTCGCGAATGGATGGTACTATGCAAGAAAACCTCGTCTTCCGTGTACAAAAAGAAGCGTCCAAATTTGTAGCGCTAGTTGCATGTTGTATGAGACTTTACGCTATTATTCAATCTCATTTATGTATGTTTCCCTATATGATGCAGTTACAATAAATATATTCATACGGATTTGTATTTGCTTGTATTGAGGATAGGCGGCAGAGCGAAATAAATACGGAAAAAGAGAAACCGCGTCACATGGCCATTTCGTATCGCGGCGCCCACATACCGGCTGGCGGCCGTACCTTTCCGGCCGGCGGCCGTCCGAATACCGGCCGGTGGTCGTAGACTACGCGGCTGAGTGAAATCACCTATGGTCCCACCAGCCGGCCGTCGAACGGTCGCCGGCCGGTGCGAGTGTCTGAGGACAACCGTCCGGGGAAAGGGGGGGGGACGAAAATCTTTTTGGGATGCTTCCCAAATTTTTTGCGGGGCTCATGACTCCAAAATCTCAGAAAAAAGGAGTAGCAGTCACGCTTCCGAAGAAAATTTTTTTACAAGGCCAATTTGGATTTTTTAAAAATTTCAAACAAGTCACTTGCACATTTTTATAAGCCATGTAATAACTTCCAGAAATTTCGCAACCTCCCCCTCTTCCCCCCCCCCCCCCTTCACCTCGGCTGCCACTGGTGTTAAAAATCAAAATTTGAAAAGTACAATTTTTCGTAAAAAACATGTAGTGCTGTTTTGCCAGCCAGGTTGTTATGGTGGACGCTTTCTTCGGAGGTCTCTAGCTCGCCTTGAAGTCGGTAGTCCGCACGGAAGAGTGATGTCCGTAGTAGTAGTCCGTGTGATGTTCGTCACTTCCGTGCGGACTACTGACTTTTGGGCTAGAAACCTCCGAAGAAGACGATATTTGTCGAAACGTAAGGTCAATAAAGGTCCACCATAATAACCTGGTTGGCAGAACAGCATCACACATTCGATAAGTTACTGAGAGTACGTTGAAAATTTCGTAGAAACCTTTGGAGTGCAAATATACCGTGCTGTTACAAGTTTTGTCACACTTTGACATTTCAACGCAAGTCATAAGCTTCAAGATCCATTTCATAGAACAGTAGCATACGCAAAATATAAAGCCAATAACTGTCCAAAATTATCGCGAAAATCCTAACTTACTTACGCATGCATAATCTACAACAGACATTCATGCAGTTGTCGTAATTTCTCCTCCGCTAGAAATCAAGAAAATGAGAACTTCCAAGTTTTTATCAAAGCAAAGCTGAAGTGTTCCCACACTAAATTGCATACTACAAGTCTTTAGAGATGCAACCGTGAATTTCCACCTTCCTACATGCGTTAGCTTCAGAGAAATATTAGTATCAGCGTAGAACACACTAGTAAGGAGAGCTAGCGATAATTCGCGAAACTATCTCTTGTAGAAAGCCGAAAATTCATGTTGTACTTCTAAAGCTCAGCATTACTTTGGCGAACACTAGAATCTTTTCTTCCGATTCCTAGCCGAAGCAAAATACGGCAACTGCATAAATGATTTGTTGTGGAGGGTATGAACAAGTTATGTGTGAACAAGTTGGGATTTTTGTAGGACTTCTCTTCTAGGTTCTTGGCTTCAAGCTTCGCGTAGATCAAAGTTGTTGCGAACACTGAAACTGAATTTCATTGTTCTCTTGGATCATACCTGTAATTTCACTCAAGTAAAAGTGTATGACTTATTGCGGTAAAAAGTCAAGATCTACAAAACTACGTAACAATCTATTAGTTTTGTTGAAATGAGTAAGTAATTAGAAACCCGAGGCAAAAGTTACCAGGAAATTTTGCGTCATTCAGCATTTTTAGCGGCCGAAAAAAAGCAAGTTGGCATTTGTCCTCATTAGCATCTATTAGCGCTCTATGACAACAATACCTTGCTGGGCGCTATTAGCATTAGCATAATTTCCTTCCTCCATATCACATTGTCAAACGGATTCGTTGAAACTGGACAAACTTGCGGGGCTTTTCAAAAAATGAGTGCAACGCTCCTGCTGCAACCTAAGAGGAAGTATCGTGTAATTCATGTCGTCAAAGGGGATGCTGGAATCTACGGGCACTCTTGTTACAGAGTTCATGTGAACCATTTCATTTTATTGGAACGGATGAGATCGGCGAGGATATTCAAGTTGGGGCAGCTAAATATGTTTCGCTTTGAGAGCACTCTTATCTCGTCATCTCGACGTGCGTTTTTAGGGCAACAAATTGTGTTACCAGGTGAATAGCAATATGTTCCCTCGCGTGCAATAAAGTTTGTCATTTGAAACACGCAATTTGTGCAAACCCACACAAGTTTTAACTACAGGTGGCATACCAGAATTTCTCTTATTTACTTCTCTTAGTCCATTTCTTTTATTGGAATCTTCTTGTCCTTTAGGGATATCATAACTAAAGCTCGCAGTAAACTGACTTGAATTTTTTTTTACCTTATCAATCGTAAGCTTGTGGAAGATTTAAAATTTTTGAAAAGCCATATCTAAGTAGCTGTCCTGTAACGCTATTTAAACAACATCTTCGATTCCATTCTCTCTAGGATCACTTCTAATTTCTAAAATCGTGAATCATTTTCCAGCAGTTCTGAACTTCTTAAAACAGAAATTGTTACCTGAGTACATCGATAAGGTGGTGTGTTGTTTAGAATAATAGCATCCGCACTTCATATGTCACAAAGTTTTGCTCGCCTGTGGCAGAATTATAAATAGCTGTAGGTAGCAGTGTATTTGAGAAGTTTATTTAGTGAGGGAAGGTGGGGTGGAAGGGGGGGGGGCAGAAATAGGCACTATCTTCGAGAAATTTGTTAGGATAGTTTCCAAAATTTTCATCGGCTCATAATAAGAAAATTGGTGAAAAGGGGTTGTAGCCAGAAATTGTTTGAAAATAATTTGATTTTCTCAAAATGTCAGAGATTATTCCCAGTCTTTAACCGTAAAAATTCGCGGTATTCTCGAAAGGGATGGCGGGAACGCTATCAGCATCACTGTACTTTCAATCGTATTTATCTATTGCATTTATAGGTGCTCATTATATGCCAAAAAGGATTTTTCGTCAAAATCATATGAGGTTATGCAATGCTCACTTTATTGACGAAAAATCTCTCATATTTCTCGTGGTGGGCGTGTAGGGGCCCCTTTTTGATAAATGTTTGCCATATACGTATCAACATGGACTGAACATAACAAAAAGTATGAGATGCATGTAGTCATGCTTCATGCAAACACAAATTTCCCATGACATCATTCAATATGTGCTTTTTATCAGATGATAAGTTTATGGTGTTTCTTCTCCTCACTTGCTCAAGTACAAAGAGCTGAGAAATTTGAAACCGAAGGACTGAGTAATGCGCATGAAACAATGAAGGCATGTATTAGGTCATTCCGAAAGTAATTTCGTTTTTTTCAAAGGGACGCCACATGTGATGGAACAAAGATTTCTAAAAGGTCTTGGTAACGTTCGATGCGGAATTTCATCCTCTTTTCAAAGATTATTAAATTATTGAAGAAATTCAATGGGCTTTTGAAAAATTTCAAAAGTCTGCGATCCATGCTTTTTGAGATGCTCATGTTTCACATTTTTTCTAAATTTTTATATCAACCCTCCGAAGGAGTTCAAGTAATGATTCGATAGAGCAACCTCACAGGATATGGCGCAACTTTTTTCTCTTTTTATATCTCGCCATAATTTTGTTAAGAGATTTGTTATTGAAACCATCGAATTTTGACAGGTCTACGTCAGCCACATTCGCATCAAACACCAGCAAATCTTTGGAATTCAAAACTTCCAAAATGGTATTATGGCTTAGCACTAATTTTGCAAAGCCAGTGAGAGTTTACGGAATCGAAATATCTATTTTCGATTTTTCCGTTCACAGCCCGGAAAGCGTTCGAAAATATGAATTATGATGATTTTATATGCGGAAACTCCACGAAGAGGAAACAAAAAGTATCCATTAGAAAAAGGAGAACGAGCTGCGTCGAATGACACTCGAGCTGCTCACCGTTTGATGTTCTACGATGTTTGAGTTGAGTTGACCAAAACTGGAATTTGGTAGCATCAATTAAAATTCTATTGAAAAATTTGGAGGAGTTATGTGAAGGAGAAAAAATGATTTTGTATCCTGTAGGGTTTGCTCTACCAAATCGTTACTTGGACTCCTTTGGAGGATTGATATACAGATTTAGAAAAACTGTGAAACTTGAGCATTTCAAAAAGCATGGATCGCAGAATTTTGTAATCTTCCAATAGCTAATTGACTGTGCTGCACTAGCTTTGTATGCATTGGAAGAGGATGAAATTCTCCATTGAATGCTACCAAGATCTCTTACAGGAAACGATACTTGGTGACCCCGGCCACGTGGAATGCGATGTATACCATAAGGTGCACCTCAAAACACTGATTCTAAATCTGTGCTCGAAATCTGCGAAACGATTATTTAATGGCAGTTATGAACCTTTTTTCGTAGAAAATTTGCGTAATTTTAGGTATTAGGTTGTCAAGAAAATAATGTCGGTTTTTATTTGCTTGCTTTAACAAAGCAACCAGACTCAACCCAACAAAGGGTAAGGGGTACTGTTCGATAGAGCAAAGCAAGCTCTACAAGATGGCACTCATGTCTTTGCGCCAAGCTCGATCCACGGAGAGTTCGAACTCAAAACCTAAAGATTTCCAGATGCCCAAAAAATCGAAAAAAAATCAGATCTTCGTCCAAATAATTTCTACTGACCTCCCACTTGCTCACATCAGTATCGATATCTGATACCGATATGTGCGATTGCCGTATTTTTTCCTTGACTAGAAACTGAGAAAATGAAAATTTCCCTGATTTTCTCAAAGCAATGCTGAGCCGTTTTTGCATATGCAGTTCTATACTACAAGCCTAAGTAAGTATAACTGTAGATTTTCAGCCCTTTCCAAGCGGGAGTTTTCGAAAAATAACGAATTTGGATTTTTTCGTTTCAGTTTCAGTGCTAAAATCCACATTTCTCGAAAAGTACCGCTCGAAATAGGCTGAAAACCTACAGTTATGCTTACCTAGGCTTGGAGTATAGAACTACATATGCAAAAATGGCTCAGCATTGCTTTGAGAAAATCAGGGAAATTTTCGTTTTCTCAGTTTCTAGTCAAGGAA